AGAGTCGAGCCTCTGACAGTTGCAAACCATTCAGCTCTTGCATTTCAGCAAATCAGGTGGGGACCCTGTACTGGGTACTACATTTTCTATAATCGCAATACCATGGGTGAGGTATGTATGTAAGATTCTGCCCGAATAGGGGCAATTACCTAGCGAGTAGATCCTCTCTAGCTAGGTGCATCGAACGCTATTTAAGCTGAGATAGGAATTATAGTGCAGCTTTGAGTTAAGTGAATTAAGAACCTTAGAGAAGCCTTGAGTTAAGTTTAATTTCCGATGGGGTTAAAATAGTTCTTCTCTAAGGTCTATGATCTAAAGATAGGTTTCGTCATAACCAAGTGTTTCGACTCCAGTTAGTATCAAGGACTCAAGTGCAGTTGCGAGTTAAGCTCCAACCTTAGAGGTCCATAAGAGATAGTTTTGCCCTAGTATGGGCATCGACCTACAGATTAGGTCCTACAGTTGCTTATCGTTGAGAGTGCCCTTCTCGCCAGTTAAGCAGTCAGTTGAGCAGCAACTATAGACAATAAGTTGAGCAGTAATTATAGATAGCCAGTTGAGCAGTCGTTATAGACAATAGACTATTTATACGCCTTTGTGATGTGTTCTATCATATTAGATGTATGCTTAGGTTGTGATGTGTTTTTATCATATTAGATGTATGCTTAGGTTCGCGATGTGTTTATCATACTAGAGGTACGTCCAGTTCGCGATGTTGCAGAGATAGTCAGTCAGCTGAGCAACATTAATAGTTAGTCAGTTGAGCAGCCATTTAAAGTTAGTCAGTTGAGCAGCCATTATAGTTAGTCAGTTGAGCAGCCATTATAGTTAGTTGAGCAGCAATTATAGTCAGTCAGTCAAGCAGTCATTATAGTTAGTCAGCTGAGCATCAGTTATAGTCATCCAATCGAGCAGTAATTATAGACAGTCAGTTAAATGACAGTTATAGGCAGTCAGTTAATTAGCAACTATAGATAGTTTACCGATTTAAGTATTTACTGGACGAATGTTTAATTCGTTAGTAAAATATTCATCATCATATCGTTTTTGTCGATTCAGTAAGTACTTACATATATGTCGATGTCATGATATGTTATTATATTAGTTGTATATTTCGGTGTCGGTTCCGGTGGAGCGCGTGGATTATTTATGCTCACGCCCTCCATTAACCATTTTTCAGGTGACGGTGTCGAGCATGGAGCGTGAGCCGATAATCTGGTGGTGGTCATAGCAAGGATATTTTTAGTAAACATGCCGTGTATATTTTAACATGTTTGAGTTATTATGCTTTGTTGATACATGCTTACATTTGCTTCCGCACTCCGTATTTCAGTATTTAGAATTTCAGTCTATGCATGCTTAAATACTGAGATGTTTAGAGTAATGAATTATATTCAGTTGATGCCTAGTAGTTTAAAAATATTAAAGATTAAAGTTTTAAGATTAAATTCGAGTAACATCCCGCATATTAAAGTTAAAGTATTTTAGAAAAATATTTATGAGTTTTCGAAAATTAAATCAGAGCCTTCCTTTTATAGCGCGAAAAATTTACTCTGATTTTAGTAAGTCTAGGTGGGGTGTTACAGTCTCTTTGGAAAGGGGGTGCTCTAGTGAACTCAGTGTCGTGAAGACTGATTTGAGGTTTCTCTTAAGTTGTCCTTAGCTTCTAGGTTCATTATGACTCAGTGAAACTCGAAAGGAAGGCCGGGGACCCGCTTTGGGTGCAGTGTGTGCGACTAAGGGCTCGGAGCAGACTTGTCGGGCTATACTCGATTTTTTCTTAATTTTGTAGAATTTTTCTAAGTATTGAACGTACTCTGGTCTTTCTTCAGACTTAGAGCATATAAGGATGATGGAAACTACACAATTTGCCTTAAAATAAATGAGGATTTGGACTTTTCCCTCATCTCATTCCTTTCTTATTGGTTTTGGTGTCAAGGGATGATAGGGTGAGGCTTTGCAGACCTTGTCTGACGATAATACACGATCAAAGTCCCACTTGCCCTAGAAAATAAGATGAAAATTTGGGCCTCGGTTGGGCCCTGGCTGGGCGATGGGCCGTGCTGGCAGACCGCATTGGGCTGCATTGTGGCCTGCGATAGGCCGCGGTGCGGGCCGTGCACTGGATTTCGCTGCAGGCTATGCGTACATGAATAGACAATAGCTGATGCTGGGCCACATAGTGTGCTAGTGTACTATGGTCGCACGTGATTGTTGGGCCGTGCGAGGTGGCTCGGGTCGTGGCTCGACCGAACTTGACTAGGCTTTGGTTTAAGGCTCAATTTTCTATAATCTCTCAAGTACACTTGGATTCGATCCTCATCTCGAATAATGCTACTTATTTTCGATTTAAGAAGGAAAGATGATCTGAGACTTTGACTAAATATATATTCGACTTCGATATAAAATCTAATCTGAATATTTCTCATTTTAAACTCGAACTTGTAACTTATAAACTGAATAGCTTACTTTCAGAAACTAAAATCGAGCATTATTAATAAGAATTAGCTTACACTAAGAAGCTAAAAGTCTAGTAATTATTATTGAGATGCTGGGATGTTACATGTTCCCTGGCCTGCGAGGCCAGGCCGCAGTGGACATGGAGGCACCGGGCTGCTTCGAGCATGGGAGCGCTGAGGCCGACCTACAGCCTCCGCGATCAGGCGACCGTATCAGCAGTGGTCAGCCAAGGCCAGCGTAGCCAGTCGGACCTAGCTAGCACTGAGCCACGTGCCATCAAGCCTTTTTTTGAGCCTTTGAACCCGTGTTGTGCCTAACCTTATATTCTAGCCCCAAAAACCATTTTTCTGAGCTTTATTGTACCCTTAGCCGAGAGTTCCGAATTTTACAAAATTATTAAGAAATCCTTAATTAGTAATTATTGATTAAGTTGTAATTCAGTGAGTACTAAGAAAAATGAGTTAAGTTATTTATAAAAGCTTTGTGCTAAAAAATGTATATTTCGAGGAGTCGAGCCCTCGAGCTGTTCTGTGTGACACCAACTTTTCATCATTTGCGTTTTTGTCACCATCTCTGGTTATCCACTGGAGATTCTATACTGTGGTCTATTCTGCATAACCATGTGGTAGTATAGTTTTGATATGTGTGTGGATGTGGGCCTACGAGCCGAGTTTTCAGTTTTTTCTACTAGCGATAGCGGTTGATGACGACGACACTGGTAGAAGCGGTTGATTCCGGGTATACTTACTACCGAGACCGGTCGATGCCGATGGCACTAGTAGTATCCAGTTACGAGACCAACAATTGATGAACTCAGGTTAACGATGTATAATAGTCAAAAGTCGGGTAGATTATGGAGGCTTGAAATAAGAGTCACTAATCCGAGTTTACCTGGGGGCTTGAAGCCGGTGATATTTTGTGTGACGATGATAGTCTGTGTG